TTATTATCCTCTTTGGGCTTTCCATTTCGGGATTTTGCTCAAAGGTTTTAAAACACATATGCTAGGGAGAGGTTTCTACACCCTTATAAAGAGTGTTTTGTTCCCCTCTCTAAATGATGTAGGATCTCACAATCCATCCCCCTTCGGGGCCCAACATCCTCGCCTGGCACACCACCCGGTGTCCAAATTGTGAGATCTCACATCGATTAGAGAGAGGAACGAGTGCCAGCGAGCACTGAAGGTGGGTGGATTATGAGATCCTATATCGGTTGGAGAGGGGAACAAAACACTCTTTATAAGGGTGTGGAAACTTCTCCCTAGCGGACGCGTTTTAGAACCTTGAGGAGAAGCTCGAAAGGGAAACTCCAAAGAGGACAATATCTGCTAGTGGTGGGCTTGAGCTGTTACAGTTCTTTTACATGGTTTTCATATTTTAGAATTAAAGTTACCGTTAATTGAACGTACGATGATCTGTATGAACTTTGACATCCTGTTTAGAATGGTGCCAGGCAGTATACAAATTCTCTAAATCTGAAGATTGTTCAGATTTGTGGTTCATGTTTTGTTGGAAGCATAATTTGATCCATTTTGCTTTTCTTTTTTGTTTTTCTTTATTACTGATTATACTAATGGATATTATGAATACAGCGTGATGATCTTTCAGGAATGCAATTGAGTGGCAACAAAGTCAGAAAATTGGAATTCTTGATAGCAGATGCTTTGCAACAGGGTGCTGATTGTATTATAACTATAGGAGGCATCCAAAGTAATCACTGTCGTGCGACTGCTGTGGCTGCAAAGTATTTCAATCTCGACACTTATCTTATTCTACGTACTTCGAAGGTCATCTTTATTTTTTCCATCTGTTATGAACTTATTTTGGTTACAATAATACCTGCTTTTCTGAATTGTTATGGTTTGATGTCCTATGTTATGTCCATGATTCAGGTCCTTGTGAACCAAGACCCTGGATTGACTGGAAATCTCCTTGTCGAGCGGTTAGTTGGAGCTCATGTCGAACTTATCTCAAAAGAAGAGTATGCAAAGATTGGAAGCGTGGTTCGTCGATTTCTTCTCTTTTACCATCTTCGTTTTTTGGGTTTTCAAAGAAATTTATTCTCCTATTGATCAGTTGATAGTCTTACTAATTGTACAAGCCTGACGGATTTCTTAAGAAGCATGGAGCTAACGGATTTCAATATATTTATATCGTGTTCGTGTCGATATCTGCTGATAGTTCTTTTTGTTCTTGGTTTTAATTAGGCCCTCACAGATTATCTAAAGTCAAAATTAATCGCTGAAGGAAGAAAGCCATATGTTATTCCTGTTGGAGGATCAAACTCTCTTGGAACTTGGTGAGAGTCTTTCTTCCTTTTTCCTTCCAAACTTCTACTTCACTTTAGGATCATTTCCTAGCAGCATGTTTGATTTTCCTCGAGATTTATGTGTAACAGCCCAAGCCCAAGCACACTCCCACTGTTAGCAGATATTTGTCTTTTTTAAGCTTTCCCTTCTGGGCTTCCTCTCAAGGTTTTTAAGACCGTGAGACTGATGGCGATATGTAATGGGCTAAAGCGGACAATATCTGTTAGCGGTGAGCTTGGGTTGTTACAAATGGTATTAGAGTCAGACACTGGGTGGTGTGCCAGCGAGGACGCTGGCCCTCAAGGGAGTGGATTGTGAGATCTCACATCGGTTGGAGAGGGGAACGAAACATTCCTATGTGGAAACCTCTCCCTGACAGATGTGTTTTAAAACTCTAGGAGAAATCTATAAAAAAAAGCCCAAAGAAGATAATATCGGCTAGCGGTGAGCTTCGTTAGTTTGATTTCTTCTAATTTCTTTTTTATAAGGGATCCTTTATCCTCCTGTATTTTTGTAATCATTTTTCTCATTAAAATGTATCTTTGTTTTCTGTGATTTCGTACTTCCAATTCGTTTCTTCTCTCTTCTCGAATTATTTTGCCTTATTATTCATTTATCCTTCTTTGTAATGTGCAGCATAATTATTATTTGAATACTGATAACTGCATGATTATCATCAATGCATCCTTTCCATCTCTCCCATTCTCTCCATTATTACAATATTAATGAGTAGCAAATGTATTTTGGTTATGTTTTCAGGGGTTATATTGAAGCAGTTAGGGAGATTGAACAGCAACTGGATACTGTAAATGATAAGATCAAATTTGATGATATTGTAGTAGCTTGTGGCAGGTTCTGTTTTTCTTATCTGGTTCATAAGAACACTTGATGCCTTCTTGTTTGGTTTCATGTTCTACTTCTGGTTGTTTTCAGTGGGGGCACGGTCGCTGGTCTATCCTTGGGATCATGGTTGAGTAAATTGAAGGCAAAAGTATGATCTATATAGTTCTTGGTCTTTACATCTCAGTTCCTGTCTTTTAATTTCGTTGAATCTGCAGATTCGTGCGTACTCTGTTTGCGACGATCCCGATTACTTCTACGACTTTGTTCAAGGTTTACTCGATGGGCTTCATGCCGGTGTTGACTCGCGTGATGTAGTTGAATTCCAAAATGTAAGTTGGAGTTATTAATGTTTGCTTATGTTTGTCAGCAGAATTATTTGTACAATCACATTGAAGTGAAACCAGTTTGATATCTGTTCTATAGAGCCCAGTCTTCTTCCCTTTACTTTGTGATGGCTTGTTCAAACTTTCATCCGCACAAAAGAAATTTGAGATGAACTGTTCTTTATTTCTTGTCATTCTTTATTTAGGCAAAGGGTCTTGGATATGCAATGAACACGCCCGAGGAGCTTAATTTCGTAAGAGAAGTTGCCGAATCCACAGGCGTTGTTCTTGATCCAGTATACAGGTACGTTGTTATTATTACACTAGTCGAGCTCACAGTTGGTGCTCACACAGAGAAAAATGTAATGGCTTTGGCTTTGGCTGTATATATGTTTATCTATCGCCCAAGTCCACTTCAAGTAGATATTATCCATTTTGGCCCCTTACGTATTGTCTTCAACCTCATAGTTTAAAAAACGCATTAGTTAGGAAGAGGTTTCCACACTCTTGTGATGAATGTTTCGTTTCCTTCTCTAACTTAGGTAGGATCTCACAAACCACCCCCTTGGGAGCCCAGCATCCTCGCTGGTACACCACTCGGTATTTGGCTCTGATACCATTTGTAATAGCCCAAGCCCACTACTAGCAGATATTATCCTCTTTGGGCTTTCACGTATCACCGTCAACCTTACAGTTTTTAAAACACGTCTGATAGGGAGAGGTTTCAATGTTTCGTTCCCCTCTCCAACCGATGTGGGATTTCACAATCCCCTGTTGGGAGCCCAGCGTCCTTGCTGGCACACCCCTCGGTGTCTGGCTCTGATACCATTTGTAACGGCCCAAGCCCATTGTTAGCCGATATTTGTCCTCTTTGCGCTTTCACATATCATCGTCAGTCTCACGGTTTTTAAAACGCGTCTGTTAGGGAGAGGTTTCTACACCCTTCTAATGAATGATGTGAGATTTCACAATCCCCCTGTTGGGAGCCCAGCGTCCTTGCTGGCACACCACTCGGTGTCGGGCTCTAATACCATTTGTAACGGCCTAAGCCCATTATTAGCAGATATTATCCCTTTGGGCTTTCACATATCATCGTCAGTCTCACAGTTTTTAAAACGCATCTGTTAGGGAGAGATTTCTACATCCTTCTAATGAATGTTTCGTTCCTCTTTCCAACTGATGTGGGATTTCACAATCCCCTGTTGGGAGCCCAGCGTCCTTGCTGGCACACCATTCGGTGTCTGGCTCTGATACCATTTGTAATGGCTCAAGCCCACTTTTAGCAGATATTATCTTCTTTGGACTTTCACATATTATCATCAGTCTCACGGTTTTTTAAAACGCATCTGTTAGGGAGAGGTTTCCACACCCTTATAATGAATGTTTTGTTCTCCTCTCCAACCGATGTGGAATCTCACAATTTATTACGTGTTATTTTCAGTGGAAAAGCGGCATATGAAATGATGAAAGACATGAGTGAGAATCCAAAGAAGTGGGAAGGAAGGAAGATTCTTTTCATTCATACAGGAGGACTGTTGGGACTGTATGACAAAGCTGATCAAATGGGTTCAATGTTGGGGAAATGGCATCGTATGGACGTTAATGAGTCTGTGCCTCGAATTGATGGCGTTGGGAAAATGTTCTGAATCATCAGATAAGCCACCAACCCACTATACTCTATACTCTTTCCTAAACAAGTAAATCCAACAAGTAAAGACAATGGATTGTGCAAATAATGTTGCCCATTAGGGATGGTTATGGATCGAACTTGGATCGGGTCGACACATTTTTCAGACTCAACTCTATTGTTTGGGTCGTAAATTTTTGTTAACTCAAATAATTTTTATTGAAGAATGAATCTTAAGATCCCACCTCGCTTGGAGAGAAGAACAAAACATTGTTTAGAAGGGTGTGTAAATCTCTCCCTAGCATAGGCGTTTTAAGAAATCGTGAGGTTGATGACGATACGTAATAGATCAAAGCGGATAATATCTGCTACTGGTGGTCTGAGTTATTTCAAATGATATCAAAGTGAGACACCGGGCCTCCCCAAATGGTGAATTGGGAGATCATTCCTTCCTAGGGTGTGGAAATCTCCATTTAACAAATGGGGCTATACATGATGGGCCAAAATCGATAATATTTGGTAGCAGTGAGTTTTAGCTATTACAAAAACTCGAACCTCATGATACTTTAATTAAGTTGGTTCAAGTTATTCAAACCATTTAAACAAAAACGTGGTGATCGTCGAGTTTCTGTTTGGAATCAGGGATTCCAAAGGGAAGATGTTTGTGATTGGAAAGCAAAAGGCATAGCCATTGGCATTCTTACATCTTCTTCTTCTTCAAGTCAGGATTATCCATTTCAATAAGAAACCACATTACTTCTGATATGCATTTACAAAACGCATATTCCTTCTCAAGAACAACAACAAAACCATAAGAAATCTCTGCGATGCAAAATTTCCTCATATAAAACCCTCACCCTCCCACAATTATCTCCATTCAACAATGGCGGAACAAGCACCATCAGATTTGCCCTACGAAGAATTCGAACCTTTCTGCCAATGGAAAAGGCTCGAAGACTGCGATGTTCTTCAGGTTCATCTCGCAGGTACATTATCAACTCACGCTTTCCTTTGCTTCCTCATAAATATTCATAGCGATTCGAATTTCATAAACAGCATTCAAGAAGGAAGAATTGAGGGTTCGGATCAAGAACAACTCCGTCCTTACAGTTTCCGGCGAGCGCCTAGCAGCCAAAGACGGGAAGAAGATCCGATTCAACAGAGAAATCAAACTCCCAAAGGATACATTTCCTGGCAAAATCTGTGCCAAATTTGACGACTCTGTTCTTTCGATTACGATACCTAAGAAAGCCTCACCAAAAACAGACGCCTCGGAGACGAAACTAACAGCCTCCATTGATAATGCTTGCCCTAGAAACTTCATATCCGGAGTAAAATCTTCATTAGCAAGGTTGAAATTTAGCAAGGAATCGGCTGTGGCTATGGCGGTTGCGGGACTCATGCTGGCCTCGGGAGCTTACTACTTGATAGAAAACGCTGCGGATTGATTTCTGTAATTCCTGTTATTACTTTTTAAGCTAAATTAATAAATTAATAAATTAATAAATTAATTCTTTTAACTTAGTACTTTAATTAACCTAAACTTTTCAATAATATTATTAAACTTTTTAAAAAAATTTAATAATACATTACTAAATTATTTTAATGTGTTATTCCAAAGTTTTATTAATATTTTTCTTAAAAAAATGTTTATAACTTTTAAAAATAACATTAACCTCTTTAATTAATTTTTTTAAAGTACAATTGTTAGAGTTTAAGGATATCTTTTTTTTTTTTTTTTTTAACGAGATATGAACAAAAGTATATTTTTCAATTTNTTTTTAAAAAAATTTAAGAGTATTAATGTTGTAAAATTTCAAGGATTTTTAAAAAAACATTTTTGAATATTTAATGACATTTTAAAAAATATATATTAATGGTTTACATTAATAAGAATATTTTTTTGAACTTTTATTAAAATATGTTAAAATTGATGAATATTATTGTAACTTTCACAAGTATTTTTAAGAAAAATTGGGAAGTGTAAAATAGTTTTATTAATTTAATATTTTTTAAAATAAGGAGAGTAATTCAAAATTTTAAAATTTTCAATAATATTCTTCCATTTAAAAAAAATAAAAATATATTCTGATCGTTAATATTTTGTTTTAAAGATGCTATTGAAACCGTGATTCAAAATAATACTCTTGAACTTTAAAAAATTTCATTAACCCATTTCAAATTTTTGAAAAGTTACAAAAAAAAATATTTTTACGTTAGAACTATATCCAATAAAAACTCATTAAATTTTAAAAATAGCATTAACACTCTTAACTTTTCTGAATTTTTTTTTATTACTATCAATATATGAACCAAAATTATCGGTCTGCAACTCGTAAACCATATCCAAATTTTTTATTTTATTTTAAAAACCGTAAAAGTATTAATATTATTTTTAAAAGTTTATGAATATTTTTTAAAATGAATTGCTTAAAAATATTTTTTTAATAAAGTATTAACTGTAAATATATTTTTGAACTTCAGTTTTAAAAGTATTTTTATTAATTTAGTTAATTACGAGAAAAAAAAATTAGGGAGGGACGTGAAAATATATAGCATAATTTGTATATAATAAAAAAAATAAATGGAAGGAAATAATTTAAAAATGGGCTACATTTAACGTATCCAATCCAAATATTTAGTATAATATCTAATGATTTTTGTGATGTGTATTATGTGACTCAAATCATTTCTTTCTTGACATTTAGAGAGGCCATGGTGCCATAATTTTGCGATATATGTGTAGCCACCTAACCAAACATACCCATGTGCACATAAAATAAGTTTGCTATATATATATATATATAATAACGATGAAGGGTTCATATGATTCGATAACTCGACCAATTCTCACTATCCAATCTAAACCATAAAAGTTAGGTTGAGTTAGATTTTTTTGGTTCGGTTTGCAGATTCATTTTTTGGTCTAGGTCAACTCGACCAACGCAACCAACCCAACAAGTCTGAGAATAGGGTTACAACCCAATCTAACCTAACCAACCGACAACCTAACCCAACTCGAAAATAAATAGAGGGTTGGGTTGGGTTGGGTTGGGTTGGGTTGAGTTGTGAACTTTATTCAAGTTGCTCGGATCACGAACCCAACCAATCCAAAATTTTAAGTTGGTCAAAACAATTTTTCCAATCAAATCTAACCGGGAAGCAACATAATTAGATTATTTGAAAGTGGAAGTACGAAAAAAAAAAATACAGAAAGAAAAAAGAGAGAGTAAGCATCAAACCACCTATCTCTTTTACTTTTCTTTGTATTTTGGTTTTGAAAAAGACGAGCGGTTTTGTCGAGTGAAATCTTTCATGTTATCATTTAAGAGGCGTGGTTCGATTTGGAGGGATTAGAGGATGAGAATGAGCTTGGTTTTGTCGGATGAAACCTTCCACGCTTCACCTTGCTTTTGAGAGTAAAGACTATCCCCACAAACCAACATGAGTCATTTCAGCCTACTCTATCTCCACTCACATACATCCCAAGAAAATTCTTAGAAGGTCACCCAATAGAATTACTCCAACGCTTAACCATTGACTTCCTATGATTGAGCTATCGAAACAGAAGATATATCTTGTTGATTTATATAGAATTTTTCTCTCTTAACCATCTCTCAGCCATCTTATTTTCATGCTAAATCTTATTTAGATGTGGTCTCGATTCATTCATGCACCTCTCATTTACTCGAGTGTCATATCCCCACTAACTTCTGTCTTGGTTCGTTCCTGAACCACATCATGTTAGGAGAAGTACCATTCTCATACGTGCATGTTTTTAAAACCCTTTAAAAAATGTGAGTTTCTTCCTCTTTCTTTTATCTGTATTTTGAATTTACTTAATTAATTAATTAAGTGGCCTTGATTTACCAAAATTAATATAATTAATTATTTAATAGGATTAAAAAAAATTCAAAATTCATTAATTTCAAAATAAATAAATAAATAAAATAAAATAAGGGTTATTCAAATAAAAAATTATCATATGAAAAAAATAAATGTAAGTCGTAATAAAGTTTTAGTGTTTAGTTGTAATATTAAAATTTGAGTTCAATATTATATTTTTGTTCATAAAATATTATTAGAGTTTATTAGATTATTTTAGTCTGAAATTTCATGTTGGTTGGAGAGGGAAACTAAACATTCATCTCCACTGTAGACACGTTTTAAAATTGTAAAGTTGACGATGAGCCGAATAAACTAAAGTAGACAATATTTGTTAGCGGTGGACTCTAATTCTTACATTTTACTTTTTTTTTTTTAATAGAAAGTATATTGAAAATAGAAATTATACATTAAATTTTTTTTAATATGAATATATATTTTAAAAATATATAAAAAGATGGTAAAAAAATTCCGCTGGGACAAGGACGGGATGAGACAAATTTTCCTTTTCTTGTCCCATGGACATCTCTACTACTCATTTAAGCCAAATATTCCCCGTCCCCATCTCGTAAACATCTCTACTACTCAGTTAAGTCAAATCAAACTTTCGAAACTTAGTGAAAAAGTAATTAGCTTCGGTTGGCTTACTTACAGTCCATCTATTTCGAAGTCAATGGAGTATATAAATAAAAATTCAAACAAGAAAAGTCATTTGGTTTTAATATTAGTAAAAATTACGTACCAATTGTAACAATGTGAAAAAGACTAGTAATTGACGTGTAATGTTTTATATTTAGGATATCTGGATAGCACTTAATAGCCCTGACATATCCTGCGACATGGTCACGTTATCTACTCTTCGACTTCTTAAGAGTGAAGACTGATCACCCATAGGCCAACACGAGTCATTCTAGCATGTTTTATTCTCACTCATACATTTTAGGAAATTTTCTAAAAGGTCATTCAAATTACGCTTAACCATAGAGTTTCTATCATTGAGCCATCGAAAAGTAAGGTGCACCTCATTGGTATAGGTAATGACTTTCAATTCTTTTAAGTGTTTCTTAGTCATAATATCTTTAACATCTCTCTCATTCATATACCCATTTTTTCTCGGGTGTCACACTCAAATCACTCTCATTCAAACTCTAATCGCACTGCAAAGTGACAATGAAGTCAAACGATAAAACAACCAACTCACGTCAAAATTACCTATCTAACCCTCATCTCATCTCGAGTTTGTTTGAAAGTCTGAACCGTATGAACTCGTATTTTTTAAATAATTTTAGAAACTTCATGAACTTTTACGTTACTTTATACAATTAACATATAGTTTTATGTTGATTTCTGGTGACGTGACACCGAAATATAATTATTTTTTTCGTCCACCTATTACAATCTTATCAACAAATACATTTCTTTTTTAGAAAAATATCTTAATAATCTCACTCACAAAGCAAATAGTATTTTAAAAAGGGGGAAATATCTAAATGATTCCATCCACAAACAATTTTCAAACCTTAAATAAAATAATTTTTAATTTTTAATTAAAAAATTGTTTGAAAGGGAAGCTGTATTTGAACAGTAATATTAATTGGATTGAATGGTTGACCGGTTTGGTTCGTTTGGTTTTTTTTGGGTTTAGTGAACCAAAAGTGTATAAGGTAAGCCGAACTTGCTCAATTAAATATATATTATCTGGAAGACTAAGATTGGGAGTCACATTATGTACCAAAAAATAAATAATATAAAATTAATAATGTGTCAATGTTACCAGACGGCCAATTGCGGCAAACGGCGTTAGCGGCTACGTCCTTTCTATATTCAATTATTTATTTATTTATTTTTCAATTGTAAATTTCGAAAATAATTCTCTGACATTTCCTATTTATTTATTTATTTTAGTAGAGTGTATATGTTTTTATGTTGATTGTACTATACTCACGTTGAACACAGTCTTTGTACAAATGCTCACACTCTGTATTAAAATTAATAAAAAAGAGATTACAATACACTCTATAGTACTACACTTTACTTTAAATTGCTCGGGATTGAAAACTTTAGTAGGGTCGAGGGTATTTATAGACAATTTTTTCCTAAAATATTTAATAATTGAAAACTCTACCCTTTGTTACTCTATTAAAGTTATAAATATTATACTTCGATTGGTCCATGATGTCAATTTTACTGAGTCATTTTGGGTATCTTGTTTTGACTGAAACTTCTTCGTTTTAGCTCTAATTTGAGTGAACAAAAAAAGTCGTTGAAATCGTTATTCCCAACGTTATACTGTAGATAAAATAATGATAATTATTAATAATTGAATGTAGGTTTGTTATTATCAAAATATTAATTAATTAATTAATTTGAAATTAAGGGCAAAAAAGGCAACAATGTGAAAATTAACTTCCACCAAATTGTGTGAGACCTTACATTGGTGGGAGAGGGGAACGAAACATGCATTATAAGGTGTGGAAATCTCTCCTAGTAGACGCGTTTTAAAATCATGAGGTTAACAAAGATATGTAATGGGCCAAAGTGGACAATATTTGTTAGCCGTGAACTTGAGCTGTTACAAATGAGTATTAGAGCTAGTCACCGACGGTGTGAGACACTGGTCGG